TTTGATTGTGCTTTTAAATTCTGAGTAATTTTAATCTAAAGTTTCAAGATGTGAAAACTCGAGATAAAGCTAGTGGTAGCGTCGTGAATTTGACATCGACATGAACATATACACGCATCAAGTATCATGTCATCATGTCAAACGGTTATATTTTTATTTTATGCACTTGGCGTCGCGACGCTACCGCGTCGCTTGATAAAAAAAACAGACCGTTTATTCATCTCCGTTCGACGAATTAATAAAAGCAGTCTGTTTATTTGTTATTAATCGACGAATCTTCTCGAATGTTTTCGATATCTGCAAACGAGGCCGATGTGTAATATTGGAAAATTACCTGCCAGTCAAAGAGAAACCAATCAGTATAAGAGGAGTGACCGCAGCATTGCAACACAAATTGGATCTCGTCGATCGCGTATTTATGTGACGCAGCAGTGGCATACAGATGCATGGAAGCGTTGAAAATATCGATTAAAGTTTCTTGTCTTACGCTAATGCGATATCCTATCAGAGCTAATGTTGCTATATTCATAACAATACATGTAATTATCATTATCAGAATATACTTCAGCACCTGCCTAATCTTTGAATAAAGATTCGATTTGCGCCTGCAAGAATGCATCCATTATTACAAGTTGCACAAAAAATTTAATATGCAGTAACGTATATACTTTGTAATGCAATCAATAATGTAATAATTAACAAACTTATTATACGTAATGTTTTCCTGATTGATTCATGTTCAATATAGGTCGAGGATATTTATATTTTAATCGTAACCTGTCTTTTTACGTACTTTAACTTACTTATCGAAAAAAGATCAATTGGAAAAATAATTATATGTCAGATATCGCGTAGAGATTTTTTTAATTACAATATTAATAAATGTTATATCTTCAAGTGTGCACGTCTCACTTACTCGTTCGTCCTTGCGTTTCGTAGACGAACATTTACCTGCGTATAGCGCGTACGGTGATAAGGGCGCACGGCAAACCCAAAGCCACGTCCGCCAAGGTAAGGACAACCGGCTGGAAGCCACCTGCGATACGGATCACCTGCCATTCCGCAAATATCTCCAAGGCGATCACGAGGAGGCGCTTCGCCTCGAAGACGGCTAGCGTGAAAGCTACGCCGTAACCGAACTTCACCTCCCATTCGCAGGTGCAACGTACTCTTTTGCGGTAAACCAAGTTGCGACCGTTTTCTGTCATTCAATAGTCGCGGCCTATTTTTTTTTTTTATTTTATGGATAATGCCGTTTTGTTATATTATTCGTTCTCCCTCCGAGTATCTCGCGTGTAAAATAATAGCTACGGAACGTACCTAAAAATTTTAATGGAATATTGTTAACCTGTGATCGCATAATTAAATATATACGTTTAGCGTGAATTATCACTGTATTGATGAAATGATTTGTAAGTTAATTCTTATTGGATTAAGTTAACTAAGAGAATACATTTTGAGAAATTTACAGCACTAAATGTAATCTTGTGTATACATTGTTGTAAAGTCTGCAACTTCGTGTAACGTAGTTTTGTACGTATATTTAATTGTAAGAAACAAGACTTTTGTGCGCGAATATATAAATAGTAATAATTGTTTAACTTAACAATTACGAAGTAACGTTCTTTGTTCTACTGCTTGTCACTAGTTCATGCTATAATACTTTTGTACATGACATTATTTCGCAATGTCGAATTCTCATGGACGCAACTGCCACATGTGTGCACCGTTTATTACTCATCATTGTTGCACATACCGGAAGAGGTAAAGAAAAAAATTGTTTTGACGAGATACAATTACGCGCGACGGGACTGTAATTGATGTGGCGTGCAAATAGGTCGCGTTTGCATGTATTATATATCATATACGCGTATCCTAAAGTCATTACAACAATTTATTGTACAATTTATATATACATTTATCTCAAAATATTGTCATGAAAAACTGCTTATTACTAGACATTTTCATTTTTAATAAGCCTCCACTCGTATATTTAATTATGAATTAATAAATATTTATTAGTAATTTAAAAAGCAATGATTTAACATAATATACAAAGGGGGAGAAAAATAAAATATAGAAATAAAACGATCCTCGAACGATCGCGAAAAATTGTATTCTTTTTTTTAATATTATATAAAATAATCCTAGACATCACAAAATATTTATGATAAATACAAATAAATATTTCTAATAAGTATTTTTTACCTGGATTAGAATGTCTTTCATCAAGTATTTTTATAGCGTTTACTATAATAGGCCTTCTACAATAAGCCATAAGTCATAAATTATAAGTCATAAGCTAGAAATGGACCAATCACAGTCGTCAATTTTTAATTTCTTACTTCTGATTTATAACTTATGGTTTATTGTATAGGAGGCCTATTACATTTATAATAAATATATCATAATATTTGTAATAAATGTTTATAATGTGTGCAATCTAATACCACAAAAATATTTACAAAATATTTAAAGTAAATCTTATAAATATTGTGCGCGCTATCTGGAATATCATTCTCCTTTTATTATATCAATTATACAAAGATTATACCATTTTAAAAATTAATTTTTTATTTAATATAAAAAAAATAGATTGAAGTATGATATGTCTATAGAATTGTGCACAAATTTTTTTAGACTCAATTATGATGTCTTGCTTAATATCACATTTTAATACTTTATTAACGTTTTATGTTGAACAACATCAATTGAATAATTATTGTAATGATTGAAAGTCAAGATAAATTATGAGATTATTTAAGATAATTGATCATTAATGCTTCATATCAAGAACATTCAGATAAAGACTTACCGATAAGCATCGTGCACTAAAATAAAATAATTTCTTGAATTTTCAAACCGAATTCATATACGATTTTGGTTACGATTATATTCGTGTAAAATATATGTATAACATGTATGACGTGAAGATCACGTATATGCGCGTCTATTAAGGTGATGACATGCGCACTATTATCGCTAGGTCGATACTAAGAGATTTTTATTTTTAAAGTATTAAATATTTAAAAAGATGCACAAAATGTGAATATTATAATTAAATATTAATTCATTTATTGTTCCGTTTACAGTTAAGGTACATGTACGCAATAAATAAAATATCTATTAAGTAACATGGTATACTCATATAGTATAATTTTGGAAGCCCAAGTAAACTTATCAATAATAAGAACGTAAAACGTTTCTCGAATTCACATAGGGGAAGCCTGGGCACTGTGGATATGTTAAGGTTTGGGAAGAAAAATGACATAGTTAAAATTAAGATCAGAAACTTTATTTTATTCTTAAAGTTTCATTATAGAATAAACTTTAAAATAAAATTAAATAAAATGTGAAAAACTTGAACATTTATATGTATTTTAAATAAAAATGTAAGAAAAGAAAAATCATCCGCTTTACCCAACCCCCCTGGGTAAAGCGAATATTACTCGAATAATGAGAATATAATAAAAAAATATCAAAATTAACATTGGCAATCGTCACAAAAGTAGCTGCCAAATCCTCTATATGTTGTGCAGCCTTCATGAGCCCATTTAGTGCACTGATTGCACTGGATCCAGTCTTCGGATGGTTGGATCGATGTATTCTTGAGAACACACCAAACAGAAGTAACGTACGTTCTCTTAATCATTAACAGACTTTTCTTTTTTAACTCGCTTTCTGTTTACATCACTACAGCTAGGTCCAGCAGTGATGATGTGCTATTCGTTTTGCCCCCACTCACTTTGCCTAAAGAACCTACTTGCCGCAAATTAGAAAAAATTATAATAAGTTTTAGCAACAAGTGAAAAATTTTAACCTCTAATGCACGTTCAAAGACAGAGAATTCTTATAAAAATTTATTTACACTGGTTAAGAAACAATTATTGCTAATAATTACGCTATGTACCTAATCGAAAATCGTAAGAAAACACACAATTTCGTATATTTGTATATAAAACGTAAACAATCGCAATCATGTTGCGTTTTGTATTTTCATAGCGTCGCCGGCCGGTTATTCCTGCAACAGCTAGAGATTCATAGCACCATTTCTGATAGATAAGCGAAAATAAAAAGTATTCGGTTTGCCTAGGGCATCCATTTTGCCCGGGCTTCCCCTATATCTTCTACATTTAGGTTAAAAGCTTTAAAAATAGCTCAAAACTAATTTCTATAATTATACTATTACTACTGTAATTATTATAATTACTGTAATTACACAAGTTTTATTATAATTACTTTTATTATACAACGTTCTTAAACGCTATATGTATACATATACTTACAGTGTGGCGTGCAAAAGTGCCAGTAACATTGTATACCTTAATTTATAAAAAAGAGCCTGATAAAACTATTATTATTATAATAGGTGTTGTAGTACAAGATTTCGTTACCCACATCTTATACTAATACTCGAAAATTTAAATTTTATTAAGTTCCTTATTTATTATATTATCTAGAAATCATCCTAGCATTACTAACAACAATTTATTAAGTATTATTTTGAATATATCTTTCACTTTCAAATTAAAGATTCAGAGCTCTAATAGAATAATAAATTGTAATTAACATAGTAACATCGTAGTAGCTATAATTATTATAATTTACACACACTAGTTGATGAGCGCCACATCTATGCGTATTTTATAAAGTCGCGAAATAAAATATTGTTTATTTTTTTTCAAAAATTAACAATTTTTACTTAGCATAACTACATGCATATTATTTCGTCTTTTTTTATCTCCTTCTTTGTTGGAATATTTATCACTTTGCGACAAATTAATATTTGGTATAGACACATGTAATAGGTTTTCTACAATAAGCCATATAGGTCATAAATTAGAAATCAGAAGCTAGAAATGGACCAATCACAGTTTTTAACTACGGCTTGTTGTAAAAGGCCTATAATAATGAATTACTTATGCATGCATAATTTATACAGATTTTTTAAATTAAAATTTATCATAGTTTACGATATGTGTGTTACTTCGATTAAATTCTCAATCAAAGCGATAATTAAATATATTGACTTTTGAATAGTCTTTTCCGAATTTCCAGTAAGCAAAAATGGAAAAGTTTCTTATAGAAAAAATCGACAAACGCATTAAACCATTAAAAATTGAGCGAAAAAATGAAGACCACCAAGCATCAGATCGCAGTAAGTATTTCAACACAAAATGTTGCACGTTGAACAGGCACCAGCTATAAAAAGGCATAGATGAAGTATCTGGAAACATAAAATTATAAATGATTTACCTGTTTCTCTACTAATGTAGATTAACTTTAATCTCGGTTCCCCAATTTATTCTATATCATGTTTTGATTCTTACAACTATTATATTTTCGTACATCTAAAATTTTGATATTAGCAAAAGGTCATGTTATTGTTTCACTTTGCATAAAAATGAACGAAACACTCAAATATACACATATATTATATATATTCATGTAATAATACACTCAAGAAAAAATAACTTTAAGAAAAATTAGGAAGAAGATATAACGTTCTAAATGTTTCAAAATACTTGAAAATAAAAAATGCGTTGTAACAAATGTCATTATGAGACTTGGCATATTAGGATCATATTGTGAATAATACCATTATACCTACAAGATTCCCATTATCATCTTTTTATCTGCGTTCCGTTTCGCGCATGATGCGCATAATGCATCAATTGTCCTCGTTTGACATTTGGTGGGAAACAAAGATAAACGATACATTATGCGCATCATGCATGAAACAGAACGCACCCTACATATTATTTATTGTATGTAAATGATATGTACATGTATAGTCTCTTATATTTAAAATTAATACAGTTTGCTTGAACTATATACTGACCAAAAAAAAAATATGTGTAACCAAAAAGAATATACCTAACTGTGATAAAAATTTACGTTTTTACTACTCATATACATATATATTGTTATTTTTAATTTTTATCAGCTTTGTAAAGTTTATTCATATTGAATTACCTATTTCGATGGAATGATTATTGTTACGTGCATTCGAAGAAGCCAAATAAAGTGTGAAGGCAGTGAATGCTAGTGGCTCAATATTAAAGTTGATCGGCCAGAGACTCTCCAGCAGTATAGTACCCATCTCATTGAAATGCTCATTCTTATTTCTATTTGCTAGGCAAGGAATGAAAACCTCTTCTAATAGCCTGTGACAAAGAGCGCGAGTTTCTTCGACAGTACCCGTGCAGAGATTGAATCTACAAATTTTCTTAAATTACATAAATGAATTTGAGTACATATTTAATCACGAATTTAATTACGTCCTTAATAAACAATTTCACTAAAATATTTAAACAGAACTGAACTTTAATATTATAGGCTCAGATGAAACAAATAATAATAATAAATGCCAATAAGAGTTAAATTTAAACGGTTGTTAACATTACAGATACATATATGTATAATTATAATATTTGCGCACTAACAACCTTTTTGGCTCTTATTGCCATTTCTGTTATTATTTGTTAAAATATCGATTAATAATCTACCATTGTTTACGTTTTCATTATCCTAGTACATGCAATAAAAAATATGATATAGGTACAAACTTATCGTCCATCCCAAGCATACTACCAATGACCCTCCAGATATGGACTACACCTTCCATGTCCTCATGAGTGGCATTTATTCCTAGATATTTCTCGCATATGATAATGTAGCCAACAAAGCCGAATTGAGCGAGTGCCATGTCTAATTGCGTTGGCTTATGAATACCAGCTTCGGTGCTTCTTTTGAATGCAATACAGTGTTTCCGACGTACGATTTTTAAGGATTCTAAGAATCTAAAATTGTTATATATGTATAATAATAACTGTACATGATATGTACGCTGTGAAAATAAAAAGTACATTTTTTGTATTATGTTCTAACGCGGAACAAAAATTTGTATGTTAATATTGTTATATATATATATATATTAATTAATATTAAGAATTATTTATTTAACTCATATAATATTATTTACATTAACATATTTCAATTTGCAACATTAAATCTTAGAGGATCGTGAGTATTTAAACTAATGAAAGCTGATGTTTTGAACGAGAACATTCCATAATCGATTTTAACGGTATTTTAATTTGCTTATTCAGACGCTGAATCAGATGCTAATCAGTTGCATAAATTTGTTTATATTCTTTCTTATGCTAAATGTTCGAGTCTATTGCGATAAATTCAATAAGATTATAAAATACGCGCAAAAGTTTTTAGTCTAAATAAACTGAGAAAATAATACAAAACTAAGAAGGGCAAAGAGCCAAATAAATCTATAGAAAATATCAAATATATAAAATTTAATAAAACACTTTAAAATTACAAAAAGAACAAACGTTTCGAACCCAATTGGTTCATTATCAATGTTACAAATAATAAAGTTGAAATAAAAAATAATAGTCATTATCTGTTCTGACTTCATAGTGACAATATACCGCAAAATGACTTACAGTTTTTCAAATATATTTTATATCTAATGACTTCGATTTTAATTATGGACTTTTTGCTTCTTATGTATTTTGATAAGGATCAATTTATGTTTGTTTCAACATCTGACTCTTTCTATACTGATTTATATGAAGAATGCGTTTTTATCTTAATTCTGTAATTGTTATATCGAAGGATCATTTTTAATGGAAGAAGAATGCGTTTATTTTTTATTTCAACTTTATTATTTGTAACATTGATAATGAACCAATTGGGTTCGAAACGTTTGTTCTTTTTGTAATTTTAAAGTGTTTTATTAAATTTTATATATTTGATATTTTCTATAGATTTATTTGGCTCTTTGCCCTTCTTAGTTTTGTATTGTTTTATACATATAGAGCCTTCTCACTAATTATTTTAAACTGAGAAAAATTATTTAAGTTTAAAATTATTTAAGAAAAATCCACTTCCGGATATGTCGAAGAGAAATGTTGAGTACAAGATTATTTGTAGGAATTGCAAGATATATCTTATGCCTCTTTCACAGTATTTTTTAAATATAACAATATTTTTATTTCCTTCTATTTGAATCTTACTTATTAGGTATGCCGTTGGGATCCTCTTCATGCCACACACATGTATGAAGGACCGTTTCTGCATATCTGCGAAATGCCAGACAGGTAGTACCGCTTTTTTTGGTAAACATAACTACATCCAATATGGTCGAAATAGCAAGAAGAGAGACAAGACCGGAAAGTTTCGCAATCATCATGGAGAATATATTATTATGAAACGCTTGCTGCCCCAACCGAAACTTCTTCTCGTCATAGAAGGGCGGTATTTCTGATTTCATATTGTTGAAGTCCACTAAACTTTTAGAGCCTTCGTTGAGAATAATTTGCAGTCGTTTTTCCACTTCATCTGAAAATTCGAATTTTTTAATGAAAGTGCTAACAATTTGGGAAAATTGATTTTCAAAATTTTATTTATGTAATATCAAATCTCATTTGAACCGTGAGAATTTTTAAACTAAATACCGATGAGAATAAGCCATTTACGGTCAAGTTGGATACTTCTAATATAATTTCGTGTGAATTTATATTAGAATAAGCATCCAAGATCCAGCTTGACTGTAAATGGCTTATTCTTATCGGTATTTATTTATGCAATGTATAATATAATGTTTATATCTGATAAACTCAAATTGTTTATTTTACATGTTACAACCTTAACATTTATATTTTTAATTTAATATATTCTCTTTTGTAGATAGAAACTATTTAGATTATTATTATTAATTTAGAGTATGTATACTATTTCTTAAAGAATGTTTGAAAAGAATATTTTTAAAGTATTCTCTTCTTAAACATTAAAATTGTATTTCGTTGCTTCAAATTCTTATGTTAATTTTTCTTCATCGTCAATTCTATATTTTTTCAGCTAAAGTGATGCATTAAAAGAAATCTTTGCTCAAATCACCCATTGTGCAGCACAATTGGGAATTTCCAAAACCATGCTTCACAGAACAAGAAGACACATGTAATGCTGTCGTGCGAGCGATCGTAAGAACCGATTGTACATGTTTCGCATGTATAAATGCCGAAATCAACGTTAACATCTGTGCGTGTGCACGTGAATGGAATTTAGAAAATTTCGTGAATTTTAACAATTTCATATAATATATGTCCTACATAATTTATATTAAGGAAACGTCCATGTAATAATTGAAAATTATATGAGCGAATCGATCTATCGATCAGATAAAAATAATTAACGAGTTTATAGTTGTAATTGTCTCTTATACTAATAATTAAAAAAAAAATTTAATATTAATAATATTATACCATTCGTATATGTAGAATATAAAGCAAGATAAATAAATAGATTGCGAAAATTGTTTAAAAGACTGAGATCGCAGTGTATTCGATCAAAGATACAAAACATACAAAACATTATTGATGCACATTACGTACGTGAGAATACGTGAGAAGCGAATTAAATGAAGAATATTGTATCGTTGCAATAATCATTTCACGATATATTGTCTTTAATTATGATTGACTTTTTGCAGGGACATTACACACCCGACACAAAACAACAATCGAAGGAATAGACTTCGTCTGGTGAACCGATCCCGAAGAAAGCCCAAGTAAGTTCCATCGGCTGGAAAGGTCATGACCACCATTTTTTGGGATTCTAAAGGCATCATCCACATCGATTACTTAGAAAAGAGAAAAACAATTACGGGAAATACTACGCCGACTTGCTGAGCCGTTTCGACAAAAAATTGAAGGAAAAACGCCCTTATTTGGCCAAAAAAAAGTGTTGTTTCATCACGACAACGCACCGTTCCATTCATCTGCAATTGCCACAAAATCGATCGAATTACGATACGAATTGCTGTCTCATCCACCATACTTTCCAGATTTAGCCCCATGCGACTTCTGTTCGTTTCCAAACCTTTGGCTCGGAGGAAAGAAATTCGCGTCGAATGAGAAAGTTATACCGCCGCCACGAACGTTTATTTTGCAGAGTTTCAGCCATCGTACTTTTTTGACTGCTTGAAAAAATTGGAGCACCGTAGGACTAAGTGTATTAAATTAAAAGGAGGTTATATTGAAAAATAAAATAAAACTTCTCCGAAAAAATGTTGTATTTTTTCTGAATTAAGAAACTTTTCAAGTTGCCCACGTATTTTTCCGGATCGAGAAAAGTGAATATTTTTAAAATAAAAATTGAAATGTTTTTTTTTCAAGTGCCGTCATTTTATCAACTTTTGTTCTAATTATTTATTAGTAGACCGAACGATAACTACATTTGTAAAGAATAAAACGAAAAAGAATTTGTTCGTTTCAGATGACGAGGAGCAATCATTACGTCCGACGAAAGTAAATTTTTCGAGCATGATCTATATATTTATTTATATCTTTTACAATTAACAATAGAACGTTTTGTAAAAATTTGACGTAATACTTGAAGTATAGATAAATGTAAAATATTAAATATGTAACATTAGCTGTATAAATTTAACCATTTTAACAAATTTAATTCCCAAAGATCGTCTTGAAAACAAGTCGCCAAAGTAGAATAACCCTTGAAATGTCCAATATGTATTTTCATACACACACATATGTATGAAATATAAATAATATATGAAATATATATATATTTTATAATAAATCTTTATAAATCTTTAACATATTTGGATTAGTTGATTAATATAGCTAAAACGCATTTTTTATTTGTTATTAATTTTATTAAAACAGTATACAGGCATGTTGATAAAGACAAAGATTCAAAAACAAATTAAGTTTGTTCTCTACGAGCAGCTGATAAGGACTGAATTTTAAGAAGATTGAATTGACAGAGAGATTTTTGTATAAATAAAAGCGGTAAAATTTTTGAAATAATGTCAATAACACGACATGTTCTGATATTAAAAAATTGACTAGTGCAGTTTTTAAAAAGAAAGAGCGCAAGGACCCATACACATAATAGAGTGCAATCAGTTTGGATATAATAACTAACAAAGATAAAAATATTTAGGAAATAATAGGGATCGTTATATAATATAATGACGAACGGTTTACAGTTGTAGATAATAATAATCTAGATAATTAGTAGATCATTAATTAATTATAGCATAAAAGTATATTTTTTCTAAAAAAAGATGCGATATTTCTAAAAAAATGTGCTTTTTTTATTCTAAACATTCGAAACATTAAAGGATTTAACTCCAGCAGAACACAAGTCATTATGATGCCAAATAATGATGTCAAAATTACTTTAAAATGATAACTGAAAGTTACTTTTTAATTGTTCACTGTTTATTTTAATGTTATTATTTTGATGTTACCTATTGTGATTTGTTAATTTTATTTAAGAAGCGATTTAAGAACTGTTACTTTAATTAAAAATCTTAACATTAATTAAATAAAAACCTTTTAAAATATTATGTAAAGTATTAAATTTGCATAATATATTAATTTATGAAAAGATTATAACGTAATATTATATAGTATTTTACTCGATATATTTTTAAAGCCAATTATTTTAATTTTTTTTAACATGGAATTAAATACAATAAGCTTTATACATATACAATAACAATAATATTCATTAAAGGTACCCTGTAACTTTCAAATAATTTCGTCTGATCTTAAATAATGTGTTTTAATTAAAAAATATTAGACTTTAGTAGATTAATTAGACAAATTAGAGAGCTTATTAATTAGTCATTATTAAAGTTTTAAAAAATAGAATTTTGATGATAAAAAATTGTTTAATCAGTTTTAATTCTTACTTCAAACGTTGTGCAATACGGCAAATACCACAGCAAGAAGTAGTTGCAAATTTAAGTCGAGGTCACAACAATCACTTCACTTTTCCTTCAGACATATTATTTATTTTCTTGTTAGTGCTAAATAATAATATAAAGAAGAAAATTTGTTTAAATCATTATTTACTATTTCTGCTTATTATCAAGCATATTTTTATTATTATTATATTAAGATTTTTTTACTTATAATTGTATAACTTAATATTATTACTTTCTATGTTACTGATGAAAAGTTTAATATTTGCATATATCTTATTATTATACTTTTACAATTAATATTATTATTTACAATAATTGCATCGTAGGGTGGGGCAATTTGAAGGGTCAACTTCATTTTTTTTAATGGAATTATATGAATTTTTTTTTACTATATGATTCCTCTAATTATTCTGTATATAAAAGTATCAAGGTAGAGATATAAAAAAACCAATAGTTTACGAGATATTTGGTACATATTGACATAAAATGTTTAACAACTCGTGAACTATTGGTTTTTTTATATCTCTACCTTGATACTTTTATGTATTTACAGAATAATTAGAGGAATCATATAGTGAAAAAAAATTCATATAATTCCATTTAAAGAGATGAAGTTGAGCTTCAAATCTCCGAAGCGCCTCCACCTAAAAAAATTATAACCAGCATATATTATGGTCCTCTTAATAACGTACAACTTTTGTAATTATAATATTTTCATATCTCTAAAAATAGCGGAGATATTCAACGTGGACAAAGTTATTGTCCCACCCGGTATATAGATATATGTATATGTAATATATATATATATCTCTGATCAACCAAATTATTATATTTGAAAAATTCTATAAATAACTATGTATGTATATATTAAAAAAGGATGTATATTTTTTGAAACCATCTGATTATATTATTTAATTAATTTCTATATAATTTGTTTAGTCTTTTATTCTTTGTCTTAGTTTTTTATTTTTTCATTGTTTGTTAATTATTAAGTATAATTTAACCTAATGACACCTAACTGTTTTTTCTTTTAAATTTTAATTAAATGACAAAATTTTTTACTTAACCGTTGAGGACATTTGACTCGTAGCCCTTTTCTTCTTATATTTTTATATTTCTATATATATCGTAAATCGTAAAGAAATTACATCATCTTATTATTTCTTTGCGTAATATAAATAATACATTTGGACAAAAATTTTGAGAACATAATTATTATCGATAAGATACTTTCATTAATATATAAATACATTGTTGCTGTATGTCATCATTTAATATCCTCTTTCACTTATAATATCTATATGTTTCCAGATAGAAATGTCATATAATGTGTGCCTCAATGTATGAAAGCCTAAGACACTATGAATATGATTTCTAAATATTGCGAAATTCTTTATTGCTTCACTAAACGTATTCTTGAAGTATGGTATACTGTTAGTTGGTAGTATATCATACATAAGTATTGCATATTTTATTATTATTATATATATATATCGGCCTTTAATTTAATTTATATTTTATTATATTTATCTATATATATTTTGCGTGTCTTGCAGTTTTCTATCTTTTACATGAATGTATTCCACTATATATAGATGTACATAGTCAAAATTTTAAATACAAATATGTATATTATATTCTTATTATATATCATACAAAATTAGAAAAGTTACTTTTTAAAAGTAATAATCATAAATAAAATTAAGACTAATAAAAATCAATAGAGAGAACAAGAAAAAGTATTTTATTTATTTTAAAAGTAACTTATTACAATTATAGTTACTTTAAAAAAACAATTCATTATTTTATTATTATTTTATTGTATTTTTTATTATTATATTGTAATGTATGTTGCAGCAAGATCAAATTAAATAAAAAATTACTTTTTTAGTATTGTTTGTTAAAATATTAATAAAATTAATAAAGTTGTATATCTTATAACTTTATAAAATAATAAAATATTAAAAAAACTTTTAATACTTCCAAATTAATGAATGTGTTTGTATTTATTTAATTTATAAATAAAATCAAATGTATTTTTGTTGTGTATCGTTTATTTCATTTTTACAAACTTTAATATAACAAAAAGAATTATAATTCAAATAATAAGATATAAATTAATACTTTTATAATAACTTAACAGTTTTCTTAAATAGCTTTCAGTAAAGAAAAATTTTGTTAATTAGTACACTAGTAATGATTCATATGTAAGCGAAAAGAAAGTATCACAATTATATGTTTTTAACTACCATGTTGGATTCACTATTTTGAATTTTGAAATTTCGATCCAAGATTTATCATTAGTAATCTGAAAAAAAGCTTCTAGATAAACATATAAAATACGAAATTATTTGCTTTTACCAGTTCAAAAAAAACATTAATTTTAAGTCTACCAATGAACTGATTAATGTTAAGAACTATAATATTAATAATAGAGTGCATAAAAAAATTTAATTAAAAAAAACTAAATTCGTTTACATAATTACAATAATTAAAAGAAAATTATTTCTCTTTCGTACAAAATAACTAACCTGTCAGGGCAATATTATCCGAAAAATTGTTAATCATTCTGGTCATTTTATCTCCACATTCCACACCAGATCACTGCGTTATAAACAGATAACGATGATCTACCTGTAAGAACAAGCAGTTTGACTCGAGAGAAATGGTTGCAGCACTGACGAACAAAACTAGTCAAAATGATATTTAAGGTGTAGTCCTGAGTACAAGACGCATATACTGTGAAAGTTTTAGCCACACTGATTGTAAGTTTGCTACAGGAACTGGTTTCGCACATCTTCTGGAGAAAGGAACCCCTTCCACATCTTACATTTTCCCTTCCATAACATTAACGATACTTTTCTACTTAAGCAACTCATAGTTTTGCAATGCCAAAGGAATGTGTTCTCCATTATTTCCAAAAGAGATTGAATTCTCCTTTCATTAATTACCTCTTTCCTCCTTTCTCTTTCCTCCTTTTTTCTTTCTCTTCCCAGTTGTCTGAACAATCATTGCTGATATCATCTCAACAATTATACTTTTATAACTATAATAATTTGTACATTTTAAATTACATAATAAAATTCATTTGTGACGTAAGTTCAGTTTATTAAAGTTCTAAAAGTTACATATGAAAGTTTTGTGGCGTGCATAAGAAAAAATAAAATATTGTAGAAAAAGTTAATTGATTAAGGCTGCAATACAGTGTCTTTCTAATCATTTACTTTAACACACTCGTTATAACGCGACGTGCAAATGCAATTATTTGTTTTACGTTATATAACGCGTGTCCAAATCTATTTCTGAATGCGCAAAGTAAGAACGACGCGTGATATCACGTCGCTTTCACGTTGAGAAACGAAAGATCTTCCTGATCGGATGTAACAGTCGTCCGGATACACACTCGCGAATTATTCCTAATTCCGTGACACTTTCGTCGCTTTCAATTCTTTGAAGGGAAGACGATTGCAAGTTTGCACTTGCGTTCACTGCACTAACGACGTTCGCGCAAATTATACTATTTGTCACCGGAAAAGCCCGCGTCACTGTTTCAAATTGATCAGTGGCAGATGGTCGACAAAACCGACTTTGCTTCATGAGAATGTACGTTGCGTCTAGGCTGGTGAGAGTCAACTGCATGCTTCGTTTGGCATAGACTGGGGAAAAAGGGAAAGTCCTAACTTTGCTTCGTTCTTTTTCGTGTGGAATTTTTTTACGCATAGCACGAAGCTCCATCGTAGTCTATCACGACAATAACGAGCTGCGTTCAAAGAGCGCCCTATCAACTTAAAAATAAAATAGATACTGCAGTACTGTACTATTAATATCACGTTTCGCTGCAGCTATATAACAGTAAAATAAAATAAGCGCAAACACACATACTTAGCATTGGTCTGCTATATACTCTGCTGTACATATAGAGATCTCGCGCGGGTTCGATTTTCAACATGCAGAATCGAAAATCTTCGTACAGTCACAGTTTCTCTCGGAAAACAGTGGCAAACCACCAAGTAGTATATATCTTACCTAGGAAACCTCTTTGAAGAAATCGTTGCTTGCCGGAATCAGCGTTTAAACTGTCTCCAAATGTCACGTGTACAACAATCAACGTGCGCGCAACCTACACGTTGATGACTTGAAGAACGAATGACACTTGAACAATAAGTAAAAAGCACAAGTAAATCTGTGTACACTACAATTGTTATGCACTATCGTGCATTATCTACTAATACCTTATAATAGATAATGGCCTATGTTTCACTAATTCCGATTGACTTAATATAGGTCGATTAAATACTGCCAACTACAAAGAACTAGAATATATCCTTTTCTGGCAGGGTGACGAATACTCACGTACTCGACTCCTATATATATGGCTCTTTCGTGATTGAGAAATTTGCGATTGAAAAGTTCTTGAAATATTATTAAAAGAAATGTATAAAAAGCCGCTTTACGTATATAAGAAGATATTTTTATATTTAAAACAATGTTTTACAACTCTATAATTTTTTAGGGTAAACCCGGTATATACGCCGCGTCAGGAAATACGCCGCAGAAGTCAGAAAAAATAGAAGGAGTGGGGATCATTTTCCAATTACTTTGTTACATGCCTTTATGGTATATTAGTATTATGTTATGATTTCAGTTCTTTACTGTTAATATTAATGAAATTATTGCGAGTTCTATTTTTTACTGTAATAAGTAGTGCCATCATAATTTATAATCTACATAAAATGATTATTATAGAGCGTGTAAAAGACTTAGTGGTTATTTTGCAATACATATGTGTAGAGGAATAGTAAAGCATGTTGTATAGCAAAATACAAGTGCTTTGCTCCTGTATTGTTTGTTTAATTAGTTGTCATATATATCCCATCTATTTGGGATATACGGCATTTTTAGCGAGCGGGATGCTGTGCCGCAGCACAGACGCTCTATTTAAGAAGTTTTTGTTAATTCTAACAATTATATTTTACATTAATGCATAAATATTGATAAATCTTAAACGTTCAAAGATTATTTTCAAAGATTTGAAGCTATTTTTAAAAATTGTATTAAGTCCTATTTGTATTCCAATTTTCATTCTGAACAATAAAAATTGTCATATATTAATAAACAATGCAAGTTACGTCGTCATTTTACATCTTATTTATAGATTATTTGTGATTTTCTTATGAATTATATACGAGTGGCCATATTATCCCCCCCCCTATGGGATAAATGGCAAAAATGCAGGGGTTTGAAAAAGTTATTTTTTAATATGGAAAATAAATTATTTTGGATTTCTAATATTTTTTTTACAGTAGTAGATGATACAAAGTTTTTATTTGTATAATTAATTTGCTTTAAACATAGTAAACAATAATTGATAAATTAAGTTTTCGATAGGTGCGGCGTATATACCGGGTTTACCATATAATTTTTACATTTATGTATTGACTTACCTTTGTATATACAAAGTTAAAATCAGAATATTCAATAATTTCATATACAGTCTGTCTAGTAAGAGCGTGGCAGGACTATCTCAAAGAAAAATAGCTTATTAGCCTCAAAACTTATATTGATTGTATTCAGTAGGATTGTGGCCAAAATGTAGGAAGTCACCAGCTGCGTCTATAATAGATCATTAAAGAAATCGCATATTCACGTGGCAAAAACCTCCAGATTCGTCGAATTTCGTTTTTTAAGCGCTTCGAAGTTGATGTCGGTCTTCTACGAAGCTTCCTGTTGATGAGTGACTACACATTTTCAACGAGATTCGCATCGAGTGATTGTGAATGGAGTGTCTCGATGTTATTTCTCTCCTTCCAGGATGTGCAAAACCGGCTTTGGTGTATGGCGTCATTATATCCTCCTGGAATAACCAGTCTTCATCTTTACTGAAGTAAAAACCAGCGTTGGGCAGACGGAATCAAAGCTTTTTAGTATATTTTTAACATATTTTCTCAGCATTCAGGTTGTCAGTAAAGAGATAAAGCCTTTGCTTTGAAACGAGACGCGTAGGCAGCACTTTTTGAAAATTGTTTATTCTAACACAATTCAAGCAACAACTGGTACTTTGCTTATAATGCATGCAGCACAAAGGTGATATCTACCGGCGAGAACAAAAATTTCGGCTTTAAAACGAGATAGATAGAGTTTTAAGTCTCGTTTAAAATCAAAAAGTGTTGGTGCAACCGGGCCTAAGTGGATTGCCTGCAGGAATGCCTGGCAGTAGTAGGCCGGGCAGATGCGTGTATTAGATAATCTTTACAAATTAATATTTCGTTAATCGTTACAAAAATATGTAACAATTAAATTGAATAATAACAAGGACTCTTTATATAAACAATGATCAATAACAATAAAAGGGCGAAGAGTCAAATTAAAACTAAATTAAAAATAAAATAAAACTGTTAACATATATTTAATTCTAAAATAAAGAAAAAAAATATGTAAAACGGATAGAGGATTTTCTATCTCAGTTTAGTCCGCTCTATCTACTCACAAGCATTGTCGACAGAATTTATATCTATATATGCTTAAGTATAATACAGTGGCATTTTGTATTCTAATTTATAAAAAAAAAACCGGTTTTTAATCATGATCGATTATTAGTACAAAATATGGGTAATAAAATTCTGACTAACATCTGATAATGATTAAAATGTTAAAATCAGGCTCATTAAAAATTTTTTTTGTTTTATTTTAAAGATTTTGTATCTTATTAAATCGCTATTGAATTTTTAAACGCTTTTAAACAAGACTCCTGAGTAGTCGTCGTGGCCATATTGAATTATAATGTCAGCGAATAATGACGAGTTAACATTTCTTAAATACTATTTGTATTATAAACAAATAAAGAGAATATGGATAAAATAAAATAATAAAATTGTTTTACAACACTTACGAAAGTGGACGAAAGCTATCCTTACCTGTCTTGACAGTCAATAAATTGAGATAAGGAGTGATAAAAAAAGGCACGTAAAAATTTATTTATTTAATGCATATGCATAGACAATTTTTACATGTCGTTTACGACTATTTATTGATCGACTGTCACGACAGATAAGAAAAGCTTTTACCCATTTTTACAAATGTTTTAAAGCAATTTGATTATTTTATTTTATTTACATTCTCTTTATTTATGAATGACATGCAAGAAACTTTAACGTGTCATTTCTTGCTACGTCATGATTCAATATACATATGCGGCGACTACTCAGGAACCTTAAGTACACTTTCGACTCTTTTTTCCTTTTTTAATTCTCGGTTCCTACACAAACGTATATTTCTGCCTCTGTCCTATGTAAACTTATTTTCTATTCTTTTCTATTTTTCATAAGCATTCTTTAAATATTTTATTAGTCAGTCCTCAAGATTAGGACTGCGGCGTACTTATAGTGGATATTATAAATAGATATTAGGATGCGAAATTAAAGCGTTAATTTACACTGACGATGACCCAACGTGAAGGATTGAAACATATGTGGTGACAATTCGTTTATTTATATTTATTTGACATTAAAGAATTTAAAATAAGCAAAAACAACTGGCTTGGCTCAAAATATATATATAGCTCTTCATTATCTATGTAGAATTTTATTAGTCAGATTTTTATTTACATTCCTGCATGGGTCATACGAGATATTTTATACTTCATTTTGGCATATATTGACATAAAATATTAAATATCTTGTAGGTTATTAATTTTTTGATAATCGTATATCTTAATACTTTAATGAACAAAACAATGAGATGAATCAATTGGTGCACAGAAAATACATATGTATTTCCTTTACACTAGCGGATTTATTTTATTATTTTACGTACATTTAACTAATAATGCTACGTTACGGTTTAACGGATAAATCAAGATTATGTAACAACATTAGGCAAACTTTGGAAAAACCATGTATTATAGAATAATAGATTACAATGGTAATAATGATATAATAAACTGCAATATACTTGGACAATAATAATAATAATAATTAATAAGAATTTAAAATAACACAAATACTGAATACATATTATTAACAATAATGAGAGAAGGGAGCGACGTCGAGAGGAAATTTTGGCAGAGGAATGGGCCAAGCCGCTATCAAATTATAATTAAAAGAGGAACACCGCGACGAAGTCATACATAAAACTGACAAAATGTTCATCGGCGTTCAATACGCTTTTTCCCGAAGACTTAAAAGAAGCACTCAGAATTACAGTATTTTAATATCATTATTAAAGATCCGCATTTTGCAAAATACAAAAATTTAATTTTTACCTTAAAAATAAACTTATGAATAAATGTCCGCCAATGCGCACTAAGCGCCATTCGCCATGTTTCGTATTCGAATGAAAACTAAAAGAAAAAAAAAAAAGAATAAAAAAGAAAAAGATACATAGTTGGATGCTTTATTCGCAGATAAATATATTAATAAGATCAGAATTTATAATTAGAAATTATCGTTACCGTATGGCTACGGTAATAATTTTAAATGCGAAGTCAAACATCAATTTGTTTAAAACATTGTTTTTTCCATTAAATCTCTGCATTTCGCGAAACAGACAAGCTACCTATATTACACTATAATTTACATGGTATTTCAGTGTCCATTTGTTGATCCTACAGAATAAAAAGCTCATCACATCTTATAAAGTATTCGTGAGACTGTATCGTCGTTGAATCGGCGGTTTTTCCTTTGAGTCCGTGTTACTTCTCATTCTCAAAATAATGCGAATAAACAACACATTAATTCGCATACTGCGACGCAGTTTGACCGAGTCATTGCTGTCATGGCGCTTAGTGTACTTAATGTAACGATTGTCCACATCGTAGAAGGAACTCAGATTGCAAAATAATGTTGCTAATAGCGATTACACAGCCTTATTCCTAAACTGTTTCTAAAAGAATTTAGCCGATAAATCGTAAAGTTGCAATTTTCAAAAATAACAGAGGTATTTTCGCACCATCACATTTTGTGCGGCACACATTTATTTTATCTCTTCTTTTTTTCCGCTTCTTTTTTACAATTGCACTGTCTCTCTTTGCGGATTGGTCCTTTCCATGCGATTGTACGTAAACAAATAATTACTCGCGAGCTGAGATCTCTCTCATAACATTATTTATAACAAAGCACCTCAAATACATTGAACAAACGTGACTAAATGTTTGAGAATAAAATTCAAGGAGGCGATTTTCTTCGGTTTCAACAGCTCACAAGTAAAATGTCGAAGCATGTGACACAGGAATCACGATAAAAGTGCGGTTCGCAAATTTAAATAGTTGCAAAGAGTCTCCCTGTATTCCGAATCGAGGTTTCTTAAAACTATTAGTAGATATATCCAGAATGTTAGAAGAATGGCAAAATGACTGAAGATGTTTTTTCCTATAAAGACGCCGTTTCCGAACATTTACTGGCATTCTTATATTAATTAATTTTCACAGCTAATATTTAAAGCGCGCTCTTCCAGTTACTTTTACTCCATTACAAGAAATAAACTCTTACAATATAAGTTTTTGTTTTTATAATAAGAACATAATTAAGCAAATTGCTCATTTAGTATTCGTATTATATTCAAATATTATAATTTACCAGCTTTTTATTAAAAATAATAAAAAAAAAGTGTCTTATATAATATTTATAATATAAACAAAACATGAAAATAAACTATAGAATTCAATTCTAAGCATGGTAACGATGTGATTATTTAACATACTCTTTTTTTGTTTGTAAAAAAATAATACTTAGTTTTGAGGAACAATTTCCTAAATTCTCAGCCAAGAAGCTACATTACGAAGTATAAAAATATAATTTTGATAAAATCAACTTCGTCGAAGTCTAAGACAGCCAATTATTGATTTTAGATACATACATACAAGAACACACATTCATACATACATACATATGATACTGCGCGATTAAAATCGACTCTTTCCAACTATTTCAATTTAAAAGTGGAACCTTAAACGCCGCTTTTATTGTGGCAGCGATTGTTGGAAACTGTTAAAATACAATGACAGTATATCATTTATGTTGGAGGCCAAACACTATTTTCACGCTTACATTAGAAGACCGTTTGTCAGCATTAGGAGCATCGATGACTACATAACGCATTAAACATTAGGTTCGCTAAAACTATTGTTTTTGTTCAACGTTTTCAGGAACAAGTTCGTCGATATGTGATGTGCGTTTAGACAGCTCCATCACGTATTAAATAAGAAAATAATGTTTGTGACCTAGTTATAACTAATCAAGAAATAATTGACCGATTGTGTGTGCGATAACTGACTGATTAGTCTCGATCAGACTGTACGTTATGCGCAAATCTTTTTTCTTAAGCTGATTAAACAAAGTATGCCCGACTGAGAAATGTGGTTTCCTCCAATCGATTATGTAATAACCCTATACATTTTCTTGATTATTTACGAGATTACGGCGAGTTTATTATGGCAGATTCGTCCTCTAAATCACAAATTGACTCTGAGTATTTGACGCGTGGAGGACAATCATTAGAACAAAAACTCATGATATGAATAATGTTGAAGAAACTAAAATATGATTGACAAATTAGATCGGGCAATCAGAAAATAGATACGATTTTATATGAAAGCGAGCAATGAGTCGTTTAATTCTTCCCAATTTGGTTTGTTTAATTCGTTGAATTAAACTAAATTTCAAGATTTTAGATATATATTTTCTAAATATATATCATATATATTTTTTAGTGTTTCTGTGATAATATATAATACATATAAATTTAAAACAACATATATAAATTCAAATTGTTATTGTAAAGTTTAACATCTAGAATAACGATAAAATTAAAAAACGACTCACTGACTGTACATTTCGAAAAAGAGAAGCTTTATGCTCATATTTCAGGTACAGTAGTAATCATCCAGTTGCATTTGTTTTCCTCGAAAAGTCACAATCTAGACAAGCATTGTCTACTTGATTAATAAATAATGTACTTTCTGTAAAAAATTTTTCAAATATTTGTTAAAAATAATTTGTTCATATTTTGTCTGACATCTTTAAATAATTGCTATTTTTTAAACTATAAAATTATTAATTGTTATATATACGCACTACTTCCAAATTTTCACTATTCTTGATTGAGATTTTTTTTCTATTTATATCAAAATTAAAAAACGCACTTTTCATAACAAATTATAATTTGTATAATCTTTGAAATATAAATCATAATTGCTCGAGCACGTTATTAGGTCATAAGATAACTATTGATAGCATTATTGATAACACTAAAAAATAATATTATATTACTCGAAACAATATTTTTGCGATAATTATTATTCAAACAAAATTATGTTATAATTTAAATAAACTTATTCATACAATTATACCATAATATAAATAATTCCATTAAAATTTTGCGAAATGTTCGAGTACAGTGCAACTGGATAGTTACCGTATTTAATGTAATTTGAACAAAGTTTCGCCATGGAAAAGCTTAATAGAAATTCTCCGATTGATTTGTGGAAAGATAAGTACGAGATAAAATCAGTTTCACATTCTATAATGAAATGCTTCTTTCTTCGTAAATCTACAGTAACATTCACCTAATAATGACGTACTATTCCCGCTTTTTAAACCTACGAACTCTTCTTAACTATAGATAATATCGCTGTATACTTAATATGGAGCTGGGCAAAATAGATTCAGACATAGTTTCAATTATAAAATGAATCTCGTGATTACTGATCTGCACATTTAATCAATTTAACAAAAATTTTCATTATCTCCAATCTCGCGTATATTTATATTACTACATTGAATAATCCTTCAACGAGAATATAATCTTTGATAATTCAGAGACATCCAAACCATCGCATAATAACACAATGTTTAGTAACATTTGGAAACATGCCAACGCTTTTACCCAGCTATAATGTTTAGTTCAATTTAAAATTAAATTTGTTTTCGCGCATAGAGACAATGAGGAAGCGTTCAAAATCTCATACACTTAAAAATATCTTAAGATTACTTCCTCTGTTAATGAGATCTTATTTGACCTCATTTGCCACGACATATTGGAAGCAGATTGATTAGTAGATAGATAGACGGATCTCGATTAGCAAGCGTGAATTTATGCTCTCAAGTGATCACATTCGTCACCGTAGTGGGTACAGTAAAAAATAGTAAACAAATAATATTTATACTTATTTTTAGAGTAGGTATAGATATATATATATCCACATTTCATATGTATACTTATTCAAGATAAGAACTTAAACATTTAACAAATTGTAATATTTCATTTAAATGCTTATTTTTTTTACAAAATACGGAGTAAAGGGAATTAGATTTATCTTATTTCATCAGACTAATCTAAGTAAAAAAATTTAATAAATTTTCCACTGCAATAAAAATGCGATATTTCAAAATTCAATAATTTCGTTATTACAAGTACAATGATATGAGAACTATAACAGAAATTGAAGCATCTACAACTATTACTTAAAACGATTTAAGAAAACAATCGTAAAAATTGATGAATTAAACTATACATGAATTCAAATTGTACCCAGCTTCGATCGCGAATAAGTTTCCTGACATTTCCATAGTCGACTAAAGCTGATAAATAAGTTCCTTGATATCACACATGTAGTACCGTTACTTTAGTATGATCACATTTGCGACGTCCGCAATAATTCTCACAGCCTACTAATGCTGCTGATTAATCCTTAACGATCTACACTGCTATCTTGTTTATCTTAGGTTTTGAAATTTATCATGATTTTTCAAAAAGTATAAACTTTTTAATAACAAAAAATTTTACATCGGACAGTTGTGGATCATTAAAAATTAAAATATCGACTATTGAAGTGTCTTCGACAAATGACAGTGCTGCCTTCAAAAATGACGGCACTGTGACAGTCATAAAATCACAAATGACATTGAGTGAGGTATTCGCGCGATAATAATCAAAGCCGTCTCAAGGACGTACCGATTTCATTCGAAGTGTCTGATAAAGGTCTGGATTTAGTCAAAGATGTATTTCCCCCTTCCTCTCCTCTATCCGCGGTGTCTTTTGTTTCTTCTTTCTAAAATTCTACCTATTTACAACAAAACCCTTGGTGGCGCGCGGACACAGCTGAGTACCAGCTGTAGGCCTGGCTATCACGAGAGTACGGGAGCGACTTCAGTCACATCCTTGCAGTCTTGAATAGATAATTGAGCGATCTCACTCACCATCTCCTCCTGAGCCTCCTTCTTCAATATCGTATATCCTTGCTGTACCTGTTCCTCATTTTCATACATCGCTTTGCCATTAGTTGATCTTGCTTGGCCATTCGTTTTTTTCTTACTGGATGATTCCTCACTGGACCCGCCTGGGTTAATTTTAAATACACTCTTAATAATGCTATTCACTGTTGGCTGTGAGCGTTTTGGACTCTCTGAAGAGTTACGCTTATCATCTTTGGTCGTTTGCGCTCTTCGCGTTCGCGCACTGCCTCTAACAAACTTATTGGCATTTTTCTGAAGAGTCAATTGTGTAGCTGGCACTTCCGTTCCTTTCGTTTCCATCAAAAGCATTTTATTGGATTCCAATTTTATAGAATTCTTTTCTTCACATGATGGCGCTTCATTGGTGGTACACGCGGGTTCTGTATTACAGATGTCTTGTTTTTCTGGATACGTATTAACCACAAATTCATCATTCTTTTTTAGAACCTCATCTAAATCTGTTACCGGAACAGTTTTCGATTCTTCTGTTTTTTCCGCTGAAGCTTTATTCTCCACATTAGTTGTATCTTGTCGCTCCGTCAACATTTCCCTTTGAAGAACTTTAACAGGACTCTTCGGCTTTGTGAAAGATTGGTCTTCTCTATTTTGGCAATTTGTACAAGAAATATGTGTCGGTGAATTTGCCTGTCTTTTAGTAACGTTGTTTTTCTGAGCTACTCCCATATGCGGTCTACTTGCTCTATGCGTATTGTTTTGTATATTGAATGGCCCAGATTGCTCAGCATACTGTGACTGTACGTGATTAAAGTGTTGTGGTTGCGGTTGCATCCTGCGAATATTAAAGTACATCGTATTATCCATGTGTGGCGGCGGCGGAGGCGGTGATTGCTGCTGCTGCTGCTGCTGTTGTGATTGTTGTTGTTGTTGTTGTGATTGTTGTGGTTGTTGTTGGTGGTGATGCTGCTGCTGTTGCTGCTGCTGATAAGTATATGGCTGAAAAGGCTTCATTTGGGTTGGAGAATTAATAGTCGGAGGCAAATACTTTATATTCACATACTGTGGCCACGTTTGCCTAGGTTGAAATTGATGTTGTGCAGCAATAATATTCTGCACAACTTGATTATCTGTGCCACGCTCGCGATAGTTGTCAGTACGTTGATCGAGCGCAATTTGATGAACGTTGTTAGGAGAGTGTTGCGCCACAATATGCCCAGATATGAAGATGGACTCGTTCTTGGAAATTACTGGACTCTGAGACTGATGTCCATAGTTCTCATAATGCATATTTTCATTGTTAATAATCCTACCATAGGTGATGCTTGAGTGATACTGTGGTGGTTGAGGTATGTATTCTTGCTGCTGCTGCTGCTGCTGCTGCTGCTGTTGTTGTTGTTGCTGGTGCTGTTGTTCTGGATACTGTAGAAATTGCGACATGGGAGGTTGAACATCAATCCAAGTTTCCTGCTGCGGAGGACGCTGCTCGTTGTCACGTATAGCTAGCACTGCATTCCAGACCTCCTTCAACTCACCCGTGATGTCTCGATCTTTCATAATCGTATAATTACGATTGAAAATTACCCCTGCGTTCATAGCTTCTATGAAATCTAATAGTAACTCGATAAAACTCGTACGTTTCTGTTAGAAAATAATAGTTACAAAATAATAGGTGATAAAAATATTGCGGACATTAGTAATCTTAGAATTAATATAACAAGGAATATTTATTAGTAAATCTCTACAGATTAAAAATGTTTTAATTACCTTTGCTTCCTGAGCATTCTTGCCATTTATTCGTAGGACTTCTGGATTGGCCATTACAGCAAACACTATAGCCTCTGTCTTTGTGCGAGGGGGTGGCACCCTCATACCTCCATAGAGTGGCACAGGCAGTGAAGGTGTGCGAGGCATTGCAATTTTGTCCCAAGACAGTACATTTACATAACATGGAGCTATAGTACCCTATCAAGAAAATTGATATTTATATAATACTGATAGCATTGATTTCTACAAATTATGTAATAAACTCTTGCAGTAACAGCACTGTTATTACAATGGTATAATACCTGTATAAAATCTTGAATACACATGTGCGGCTGTGGTGGATTTTTAAAAATTCGCGCCCCATTGCGCGATTTCATTCTGGGTACATTATTTTCCGTCATTTTGCAACTGAAAGAGAGTTAATCAATTTAACAGCGAAAATCTTACACACATAATCCAATATGTTCTATCAAAATGTGCGTTTTGTTTTTCGTATAGGTGTCTTCGGTATTAGCAATGTTCGAATAAGAAAACGGCGATCTAGCTTGGTTTTCAAAATCGTATATGTGCAGATCGTACCGGTCAGAATTTCTAAGTTTTCGAAGCAACGTGCGACAGTCTAAAAATGACTGTGATTTTCAAAACCATTCCCAAATTAGTATAGCTTGTTACATGGTATACAAAGCTCGTCCTATTGGAAAACCCGGAGTATCGAGAACTCTTGTTTCGCAACCGCTTTGGTAATAAATGCGTATCGCGTGTATGGTATTTCGAAAAAAAAAAAAAAAATAGGAGAGTTAAATGAAAACACTCCGCTACTAATATGGCGCGGCGAGCGGTCGGAATCGCGATATATTGTGACAGATGCAGCCGCATAAAAACCCGTGGTGTCTACGGGCGTTACGCCGCCGCGCGGCTTTTGTGAAACAAACTGAGGACGAAATTACGTAACACGGGGGAGAACCGACTCCGCGAGCCAGATTTCCGACCGATTGAGGTCGCCTCGAAGCACGGCCAAGGTTATACGCGCCCTGTCAACATAACCTATTAAAGTCGCAACGGAGCTCGCGCCGCTCGAGACAGAGAGGAGGGGGAAGGGGGGGGTAGAGGAAACGAATGGATTATGTCGCGTTTCTTTTTGCGAGTACTCACCCCGCGATGTCTCACTCACGCGAAAATAACCTCAAACGACCGCGAGCACAACGCGAAGCATTCCTGATGAGGGAAAGATGTTTTTTCAAGAGAGATGAACCATCGCTCCTTTTGTTTATTATCTTTTCCGGGAGCTGCACAAATGCACAGCACCCGATCGACACCTAACGCCCTCGCCACGGGCCACGGTCGTCATATGAATCTTTCTTAATGGTGTAATGTGCGCGCGCAGATGTTTTCACTGAAAACTAGGGGTGCATTCGAGGATCACGCTTGAGCACGCGCTATAAACGCTACAGACAGAGCTACAGACGCAAAACCTACAAACTGAGTCCCTATAATAAGGGGCTACGCAGAATAAAAGGAATAGGGAACAGAGAATAAGAATTTCAACCTATCAGAAGTCATATACTGTGGAATAAACAGTGTGTATGATTTCTGATAGGTTGAAATTCTTAAGCGGGGTGCACAGACTTTTGCATAACGCATAAACCATATACATAAAGAATTTGATTGGTCCATTGACTCATGCATAAGAAAATGGGCCAATGAAATTCCTTATGCACATGCTTTATGCGTTATGCAAAAGTCTGTGTTGGGGCTCAAGTCTGTGCTCCCCGCTTTATTCTCTGTTCCCTGTTCCTTTTATTCTGCGCAGCCCTAATGCCTAGTTCACACTAGAGACCCTATAATAGGGAGTCTGGCCAATGTTCTAGTAAGAAATAAAATGTCGTCCATAAGGAACACGAAGGTAAAGGAGGGATACATGCTCCTTCCTTTATCTCCGTGTTCCTTATGGACGCCATTTTATTTCTTACTAGAACATTGGCCAGATTCCCTATTATAGGGTCTCTAGTTCACACTACGCGCGATGAGCGATGCGCGACGAGCGATAACCAATAAGAACTCTGCTTTACATCGTCGTGTGAGCTAAAGCAAAGCTTTTATTGGATATCGCTCATCGTTCATCGCCCATCGCATTCAGTATGAATTAGGCATAAGGAGTCTGGCCTAGGCCGGTATTCATAATCAGTTTTTATATTCAAGACCGTCCTAAGTTCAGTCTTGAGGAGTTACGAACCAATCAGAGGACCGCTTTAGCATCTTAAGACATTACTTAAGGAAGCCTTGAAATAAGAACCGACTATGAATATCGGGCCCTAGGGACCCTATACTAAAGGCCATCACACGTACGAAAATTTTAGTAGTAATCGTAAAGGCTTAAGCAAATCGACCAATCACAATCAAGATTACGATCTCACATTTTAATACGGTAAACTGTGATTGGCCGATTTGCTTAAGACCTTACGATTCTACTAAAATTTTTGTACATACGTGTGATGGTCGCGTCTGTCGTCAAAACTAAATGATAAATGCGATTGGTCAATTCCAATGGACTAATCGTCGATTAAGTTAATCGGCGTTGGTGAAAGAGGCCCTAAGTATGTCTTAAGATACAAATGCAGCTGTCTGATTGGTTCATGACACCTCAAAACTGAACTTAAGACGGTCTTAAATATAAGAACTGACTATGAATACCGCCTTTAATTTTGACGATAGACACGATTGGTCAAATCCAATGGATTAACGGCTCCTGCAAAGTAGACGCGGAAACGCTTGCCGCATGGCAAAATGCGACTCGGTAACCAATGAACATGTTAGGATCTATATGCTTATTAGCTACCGCGTCACATTTTACCGCGCGGTAAGCGTTTCCGCGTTCAATGTGCAGAAGGTCATATTAGGCCGATTAAGTTTAATCGAGTGCTGAAAGTGGCCCTTAATCAATGTATCCTATATATGTGAACCAATGAAAAGTTGTCCACGAATTGTCCAGACTCTGTATTCTTATAGAGACACTAGAAACTAGGGCCGGAATTCATAGTCAGTTCTTATATTCAAGACCGTCTTAAGCCCTAAACATAATGCGAGGTAATAGTCATAGTGATAAGTTTCAACCTATCAAAAATGCGTGTTCCGGTGTATTCAATTTCTGATAAGTTGAAACTTAGGCTGAAATCACACGATGCGAAATAGGACTGCGGAATAGAGAGTGCGTCATTGAAGCAACCAATCAGCGTTATTCCGCATTTTGCTTTCTAGCACTGATTGGTTGCTTGAATGACGCACTCTCTATTCCGCAATTCTATTCCGTACCGTGTGATTTCAGCCTTATCGCTATCGCTATTCCCTCGTATTGTGTTTAGAGCTCTAAGTTCAGTCTTGAAGAGTTACGAACCAATCAGAGGGCCGCTTTAGCATCTTATGACATTACTTAAAGCCCATTCTACAATGGATAGTAGAAGTAGTGGATTAAGGAGTAGGTTTAGAAATCAACAAATCATAATCGAATGTGAGGAGAATAATTAATTAATTTGACAGTCTTGAAATAAGAATCGACTTTGAATGCCTAGGGCCGGTATTCATAGTCGGTTCTTATTTCAAGACTGCCTTAAGTAATGTCTTAAGATGCTAAAGCGGCCCTCTGATTGGTTCGTAACTCCTCAAGACTGAACTTAAGATGGTCTTGAATATAAGAACTGACTATGAATACCGGCCTAGGAGTACTTCTCCCGTGGTGATAGCTCCTCTAAAAGTTTCCCGGTCCCTGGCCATGAAGTTGCTTACAAATTCCCTAGCGTAGTCGGTAGTATGTATTATGTAGTACATACATACATACCTTCGCGCTTTAGGGCCAATTTCACCAACGTCGGTTAAGCTAACCGACGGTTAATTCCAATGGAATTATCCAATCGCATTTGCCTTTGACCAGAATGAACCAATCACGGTTGACACTTTAACCGTCGATTAGCTCAACCGACGTTGGTGAAATTGGCCCTTAGTGGCGATATGGCGATCGCGCGCGACTTCAGACACTTATTAATTGTCGTTTAGGCTAGTTCAAGTTGTGCAATTATTACGAGTACTAATTTCTAACTTTATATTGAATTGTATCTTAATTTTAGCGTTATGTGTAAACATATACATATGATGTGTGTATTTAATTAATTACTTTGTATATTTTACTATAATTTAATACATTATTCTTTAAATACATTGCTGAAATATTAAGATTATTTAATAGAAAATTATTTAGTTAATACGCGTATCAAGTGTTCGGTGTAAAAGAAGTTTTATACATAGTTAGCCTAATTAGCGGATTCATGTCGAATTCATTTCAGTATCGAACAAATGAATTTTCGTAATCTTGTTCCATTGATCGATCGTCGTTTCGCGCTACAGACCACTTATATCGATCGCGATGAAACAACTATTTGTCTGAACAAATACGGTAATTATTCAATACTCTTTATATAATACAATAACAAGAATATTTATAACGCTCGAACTTCCTTATTAATAACGTTAAACTGAGATTAAAATTAATCTACATTGTTAAAAATAAATAGACATTAAAGGACTATAGTTCCATCTCAGCAAAAAATTTCCAATAGTTGCAGAAGAGACATTTTGCTGAACGTGTCTAATGTTAAGTCTTGAACTTATTTTTGTACTATTAATTCAGTTGTTTTCATTTCTCTTCTAGATAGAGAGAAAAAGAAAAAAGATGATGAATCGTGCAATGTTCAGCCAACAAAAAACAAGTCTGTTATACATAGTCACTATGATAGATATTCGTATGGCAAAGCTGAAGATTGCAAAAAAATTCGAAGCTTAGATCGCAGAAAATTCGGAAGATATGAATCAAAATCCTTCCCTGCAACGCGCCCACATCAATCAGACGTAAGTAATCTTGAAACGACATTAATTTTAAATACGACTTTATTGCTAATATAAACTTATTGATATTTTAATATATATTAAATATTTAATGGGATTTGTTTGAAAATTATCAAAAAATTTGTATTTGTCATTTGTACGTATTCTGTTATTTTTATAAATTCGACTGTATATTTGTCGCCTAGAATGAACCGTAGATATATATTGTTCGACAATATAAATTAACTATAAAAAAATAAACATTATTGCAGAGAGATAAGAGAAAGAGAGAGAGAGTCAAATATATATATATATCGCCTATATAACTTTGTTTTCATTCAACAGTTTCGTGCATCCGGTACGTTCGACTTTGACGGAACAATTATAAACAATTAGCGCGACAAATGATGGATATAGGAAAAAAGGATAGTCGACTGACGGGTTGAAAAGCGCCTTATACTGAAACTTGCTGTATAACTCGCACAAGCGGGCGGCTCGGAGGACTGTAGTTAGCGACTATTAATATCATCGATCGGGATCGATAGTTCTGCCTGCGAGGCGTCATAATGATATGGTGGATGGTGCGGACCTCTCTGATACCCCGCCGATACGTCACGTACACTGGTAACGATGTACAAGTGGCGCCAATAATGCTCGCAAACATCGCGCCCCGCTGTACAATCTGTTATCGTTAACTCGCGCTCGGGACCGTCCGCTAATGCGGTGCCGCTAATGATCCGGCATTAAGAAACAAAAAGATCGTATACCGGCGCGTTGTTATGGATCCTTGCAAAACCGTGCGACACACACATACCTGACCCGTGCGACTCTCTATTTTCTTTCTCTCTGCAATAATTTGAAATACGAATAGTGACATCAAATCCATCTAATTGTAAATTTGTGTGAGATCGGTTTAATTATATTTAACGATTTAAATTAAAGTTCAATTTTCTTCAATTAATAATTAAAAAATTCGCTGCAAGAATAAGACTTTATAGAATAATAGAAGATATATTAAGAACAGGGACAAATATTAAATATTGCAATTATTGCAATTATTGCAAAATAAAAAGTTAGGAATAGAGCTTAAGCATAACGCGCTATATAATATAGATATACAAATAAGGTATGAGGCATATTTATATTTTTTGTGAAACGAGTAAAGAGTTTAGTGCAAGAAACAGACAAAATAAATAAAAATTTTACATTTAAGGAAAAAACTCGAGAAACAGAATCCTATCGATTGTCGTACGTCGCGGTTTGCGCAAAATTGTACGTAGGCCCGAGAAATCTTGCGCGAGTTCTCGAGTCGTTAATGCGCGATCGTTCCACTCGATCCGCATGACCGACACGATCGTAAGGACCCTGTAATGCGAAATAATGGGT